CAAAGCGTGTTTTGCCCCCTTCTGAGCCCGACGTGGGCAGTTACTGACACTGGTAGCTCAGTACTAACGGCATTACTGGATTCGCCCGGTGCCCTGCGTAATTCGCCGTGTCTGCCCGTCCATCCATCCTTCTGTCCATCTCACATGCTTGGATCGTATTTACTATGAGTTGCACGCATTCACATCCTTCTGCAGGGGTTGATTCATGTGAACCTTGCCACAGCCCTGTAGAGTGCTGCCTTGATCTGACATATGACCAAACTGAGGCCAGATGCCCACGGCACACCCCAGAGAGTGGCAGTTTGAATTTGCACCAGGGCTGTCTGGCTCCAGAGTGCTTGCTCTTCTAGGCCTTGTAGCCCCTCCCTGCAAGCCACGGGGGAGGGTTGGCCCGGGGCTTCCTGCACCCTGTGTGGGGCATCTGTGGACCTTGGTCTAGGGCCTGGACACACTGTAGCCCAGCAGACAAGAGCAGCTAGTGGGAGTGGGAGGAGCGAGGGCCAGGGGGGGCATGCTGCATGCCCCAAACATGGAAATGAAAACAAACCTGGGCTGGCGCCACAGCTCACTGGGCTAATCCTCTGCCTGTGGCGCCAGTACTCCGGGTTCTAGTCCCATTTGGGGTGCCGGTTCTGTCCCGGTTGCTCCTCTTCCAGTCCAGCTCTCTGCTGTGGCTCCGGAACACAGTGGAGGATGGCCCAAGTGCTTGGGCCCTGCACCCGCGTGGGAGACCAGGAAGAAGCACCCAGCTCCTGGCTTCGGATTGGCACATCACGCCAGCCGTAGTGGCCATTTGGGGGGTGAACCAACGTAAGGAAGACCTTTCTCTCTGTCTCTGTCTCTCTCTCACTGTCTAACTCTGCCTGTCAAAAAAGAAAAAAGAAAAAAAGAAAGCAAACCTGGACTGTCAGAGACATCGGCCACCCTTCTGTCTGCAGTGCCAAGTTGCTCTCTGAGAGACTCCATGGTCTGCAGCCCCCTTGCTGGTGCTGGCTGGCTCCCCCTGCTGAGGAGGGGCTGTCCCTCCAATGCTCCATTCCTGCAAACTGGCCTGCGACCCGGAGCCTTCAACCGGTAACAGTGTTCAGCGGGACCTATGGAAATCAGTAAAAATGTTTTTCTTTTTATATAAGTAAAGGATGAGTCCAGTTAAAGAGACACGTGGCAAAGAGGTCCAGCTGAATTGTGAGGGTGATACTCAAATGTTTTCCTTTGTATAATCATTAAATATTTACTTATTTATTAAATATTTATTTATTTGAAAGAGTTACGCAGAGAGAGAAGGAGAGGCAGAGAGAGAGAGAGTCTTCCTTCCGCTGGTTCACTCCCTAGTTGGCTGCAACAGCCAGAACTGTGCCAATTCAAAGCCAGGAGCCAGGAGCTTCTTCTGGGTCTCTCACAAGGGTACAGGGATCCAAAGACTTGGACCATCTTCCACTGCTTTCCCAGGCCAAAGCAGAGAGCTGGATCGGAAGTGGAGCAGCTGGGACTTGAACCGGTGTCCATATGCGATGCTGGCACTGTAGGTGGTGGCTTTACCTGGTATGCCACAGTGCCAGCCCCAAATATTTATTAATTTTTAAAAAATTATTTATTATTTCAAAGGCAAAGGGAGAGAGAGAGAGAGACAGACCACTGGTTAACTCCCCAAATGCCCATGACATCCAGGGCTGGGCAAGGCCAGGAAGCCAGGAAGTCCATCTGCATCTCCCAAGTGGGAGGTAGGGGCCCAAGTACTCAAACCATCATTTGTTGCCTCCCGGGGTGCATATTAGCAAGAAGCTAGATCAGAAGTGCAGGAGTTGGGACTTGAACCCCGGCACTCTGATGTGGGGTGTAAGCCTCCCAAGCTGTAGCTTAACCTCCCTGTGCCAACTGCCTGCTCTCCATCAGGTGTGTATTGAGTGCTCGCTTTGTACCTGGCAGGATACAAACAAGACTGTGTCAGGCACTAGCAGATTCTTTGAAATGCCACAGGGCAGGGCACAGAAACCAAAAGGAAGGGAGCTTGTTTCAGAGCGTATGACTTAGAGAAAATATTTTTTTTTTAATTTGAAAGAGAAACAGAGACAGAACTCCAATCTGTAGGTTCACTCTGCAGATGCCTGCAGCAGCCAGGACTGGGCCGAGCTGAAGCTGGGAGCCAGGAGCTCAGTCCGGGTCTCCCACATGGGCAGCAGGGACCCAAGCACTTGAGCCATCACCTGCTGCCTCTCAGGGTGCGCATTAGCAGGAAGCAGGAATGGACAGTGGAACTGGACTCAAACTCAGGCACTAAGGTGTGGAATATGGCATCCCAAGCAGAGATCCAACTGCTGTGCCAAATGCTTGCCCCAATAGTGTGACATTTGGTCAGGGGTGCAAATGAAGAGGGTCAAAGATGAGCCAGATGCAGGTCCACCTGCTCAGGGCCCCCCATGTGCTGGAGGAGAGAACCATACTGTGGCTGGTACTTGTGTGTGTGTTCAAAGGCCCTGGCGAAGGGGACAGCACAGGAACCCTGGGAGGGGCTGTGGACATCAGGGTGGCTCATCTTCCTCACCCTGGGCTGCCTGTGGATCTGGGGCCCAAGGGAGGTGCAGGGCCGGTGCCTGATACTCAGATGAGGTAAAGAAGACCGGGAACTAGATTAAAATTCCGGAGAGATAAATGTTGTTTCTGGTTTTTTTTTTTTCATTTTTTGGCTTTATTGACAGGCAGAGTTAGACAGTGAGAGAGAGACAGAGAGAAAGGTCTTCCTTCCACTGGTTCACCCCACCACCCCCACCCCCAAATGGCTGCCACAGCCGGCGCTGCGCCAATCCGAAGCCAGAGGCCAGGTGCTTCCTCCTGGTCTCCCATGTGGGTGCAGGGCCCAAGCACTTGGGCCATCCTGCACTGCCTTTCCGGGCCACAGCAGAGAGCTGGCCTGGAAGAGGAGGAGCCGGGACTAGAACCCAGTGAACATATGGGATGCCGGTGCCGCAGGGCGGAGGATTAGCAAGTGAGCCACGGCTCCGGCCCCGACGCTTCCGTTCTTTCCCACAATAGTTGTCAGTGCTTTTCCGTTGCCACTTAAGGTCATTCTAAGAGGGCAAATTGAAACGATGTGCTTTTTCCATTCATCTCTGTGTGCTACAATGCCCGTTTCAAATGCAGTTATCAGACGTTTAACTCCTAAGTGGTGTCCTGAAATTGCACCATTTGAGTTTCCTGGGTCATTTCCCCCAGGTGTTGTGAATGAGCCACAAGGACCAACCAGAACAAGCCTCAGGGAGAGGTTGGGGCAGGGGCGGGGTGTGTGTGTGTGTGTGTGTGTGTGCAGATTCAGGTTCACCCCTCCTCCCCCTGCTTCACAGCCTGGCCGCTGCTGTTACCTGATGCTGGACTGCTGTGTTTTGCTGTGGACACTGGTGATCTGGGGAAGTTGAGGCAGGTGCCTCCCTTCCCAAGAGCCCAGGTCCCTAACCCACAGCTGGATTGCAACTCCTCCAAGAAGCTTCAGACCTGGGATCAGGACGTGCTCAGTAGCTGGATTTTGGTGATTGACTCTCCCAACAAGACTCTGCCTCCAGCAGCCACCCCCAGATGCACCACAGTGCTGCCCACCAGGGGCCCTGAGAGAGAGGCAAGGGGAGAGCTGCCACCGTGCCCCACCGAGAGAAGGGGGCACAGGTGCCTGATTCCAACCTTCCTTCACAGAGCAGGGACGGGGAGGAGAGGCCCCACAGGTCCTCTGCAGGGAGCTGGTGGGGAGGCTGGGAGATGGTGGGGGTCAGGACAGCTGCTGCCTACATGGGTGCCCTAGGCTGTGCTTATGAAACACAGATCTGAAGATAAAATCAGGCCAGCGCTGTGGCTCACTTGGTTAATTCTCCGCCTGCGGTGCTGGTATCCCATATGGGCGCTGGGTTCTAGTCCCAGCTGCTCCTCTTCCAGTCCAGCTCTCTGCTGTGGCCCGGGAAGGCAGTAGAGGATGGCCCAAGTGCTTGGGTGCCTGCACCCGCATGGGAGACCAGGAGGAAGCACCTGGCTCCTGGCTTCAGATCAGCATAGCTCCGGCTGTAGCGGCCATTTGGGGGGTGAACCAATGGAAGGAAGACCTTTCTCTCTCTCTCTCTGCCTAGCTCTGTCAAAAAAAAAAAAAAAAAAAAAAAAAAAGATAACATCATTAGCAACTTTCAAGATGGCCACGTGAACATTCCATTGTAAGGGTGGGCACCCTCTGAGACAGAACCACTGGTCATCTGTCTCCAAGGCCAGTCCTTGGGGTGGAGAGCTGGGGGACATTCTTTAGGCCACTTGGCATCTGTGGGCCTCCATGCCCTTTGGGCCAGAGTGGGCAGGTTCCCATAACAGAGAAGGGCTGCCCATAAAGGGTTGGGGGTGAGGACAGGGGCTGCTCCCCGGGCCCAGCCTCTCCCTCTCTCATGGCCTCAGTGTGTGGGTGGCCCCACTGGGGTTTGCACCAGGCAGTGGGGACTCCAGGTCCCCCTCTTATAGCCCCTACATCACCCTTCTCGGCTTTGTCTCATCCCTTTGTCTTGCCCATGGGCCCTGGGGACCCCCTGGTTTCCCTCCACACCAAGTGGCCCCTTGGCTTTGCTCCCACTGCCCCAGCCTTCTGTCCAGTTCCTGACAGGGAGACCCCCTGGGTCAGCCCTTCCCATGCAGGTCCCCGCCTAGGTCACTGGTCAGCTTTTGGAGCAGCTGGTCCAGGCCAGCCGTAGAGGGGGCAGGGAGCAGGGACGTGTGACACAGAAAGAAGTTGGCAGCCAGGGTGGTGTCCCCTGGAGTACTGCAGGGCCTTGTCCGAGGGAGTGGCCATGATGTTCTGCCCCTTTGTGGAGGCCCAGGCCTCTGTGGGGAGAACCTTCCAGTCCAAAGCCAAACATGGATGATCTCTGCTGATGGCAGATGGCAGGCCCTGGGCCAGGGTGAGAGCCTTGCTGCCAGCAGTCCTGGTGGTCTCAGGGAAGCCTCTCCTCACTGCCCTCTCTCCTCTTCCCCTCACGCGGCAGAGCTCCACCTGGAAGGAAACTTCCTGCATCGCCTCCCCAACGAGGTCAGCACTCTGCAGCACCTCAAGGCCATCGACTTGTCTCGCAACAAGTTCCGGGACTTCCCCGAGCAGCTCACCACCCTGCCGGTGCTGGAGACCATCAGCCTGGAGGAGAACGAGATCGTGGGTGAGTGGCCCTCCCAGCCAGTCCCAGAGCTGCTGGGTGCGTGGGAGTGTGACTTGCACTGGGGGAGGGCCCAGGGCCCAGGAAGGTGGCCTGCTGTGTGTGGGGTGGGCCACCGGCTTCTGCTGGCAGGTAGACAACCTTGGTAACGCAGCCCTGGATAAGACCCTGTCTGCGTCTCCAGCTGCTGGCCCAGGCTGGCTCTGAGCCTTGACACATTCCCTGGGTCCTGCCTTCCCAGGGAGCGCTTCACCTCTGGGAATCGGGGAGCACTGGGCAGGTAGCTTCAGAATGGCCTTTCTCTGCCTGCACTGCAAGTGTTCCCCCTCTTGTTAGTCGAAGCCCCACCTCCAGGGAACCCGGGCTGTGCTGTGTGCCTTCCACAAGGCTGGGGTTTGCTGAGGCCAGGGAGCATCCTCCTCTCGCAACCATTATCTTCTTCCCATCTCATCAGGAGCTCGGAGAGCTGAGTGTGCCCTCTAGCCTGGGGCCTCCTCACCCAGCGAGTGCCCTCGCTCTCTGCTTCACCCGCCTTCTCTCCCTTTGCCTCTACCTTCGGTGCTGTCCTGATGACAGTGGTGACAATGACGCGCTCCAGTGATGTTTTCATTGTGGTCATTTCCTTGATGGTCGTTATGCCATCTGGCCAAATGTGAGAACTTTCTGGTGGTCTGGGCCTGTGTGATGGGGAGCAGCAGTGCTGGCTGAGTGCCTGTCTGTCAGAGCCAGGGGACCCTGGCTCAGGTGGGGGTGGGGACAGCTGACCTTCGAGGTTCGGCAGATGAGTAAACTGAGGCTCAGAGACATTGTGCAGGGGCATCAGGTTGTACGGCGGGACTGCAGAAGTGCCAGGAAGAGGACGCAGGGTTTCAGAAGTCAGCCCTGTGTGTGGCCCTGGGCTCCTGTGCTTTCCTCCGATTCCATCGTATGCTCCCGAGACCAGGGTCCCTGGCCGCTCGTGCCGCTCCAGCTCGCTGGTCCTTTGTCCTCTGTGCAGTCTACGCAGGAGCGAGCCCGGAAGGGCCTTCTGCTGGTGATACCTCGCAGGCCCAGAGTGCTGAGGCCGTCGTTTCTTGCATTCCTGGCCAGGCCCTTCTTGCCTGGGCCCATCCTGCCCTGCTGTTGCTTTGGAGGGGCCCTTCCCAACACAGCGATATTGAACAGGGTCTGTCACAGCCAAAGCTGAGACCAGGGCTGGGCGTGTGGCCAGCAGTCAGGTGAGGAGGTCAGGGCCAGCGCTCGACACTGGCTTCTCCACTTCCTAACTGCAGCCTTAGGAGACTCACGGCAGCTCCCTGAGGCTTGGCCTCTTCTCATCTGCTCAAGGGAAGGTTATTCCCCACCTTGCACATCCCCAGAAGGCAGCACAGGGGGTCCAGACCCCTCAGTGCTTCCCCTCCCACAGGCCGTCAACATCTGTCAGCAATGGCCCCCGGCACTGGAGCGGCGTGGACTCCCTCTCCATGTGCCCGTCTCTGCCATCCTCCAGAGTGACAGTGATAGCGTTTTCCCTGTGGGAGCACCCTACAGCTGGCCGAGGATGCCTATATGTTGCTGCACGTCTGCAGGGCCATCATCCCCATTCGACAGATACAGACACTGAGGCTCTATGAGATTTGCCGGTGCCCGTCACATACCTGGCCAGGGAGGAGCCATCAGCTGTGAGGCTGAGTTTCCTGGTCAGTTCAGCCTGTGACAGAGCCCCAGCTGCCCTGTCCCAGCCTGGGGGATGCAGAGATGCTGGGGCAGGGAAGTTGCCCCTATCAGGGGAGTCTTCTGGTTTTCCCCCAAGTAGCAGCTACTCCCCAGAGGCCCCCACTGACCTCAGGGTCTTAATAGTCCCTGGGGTCACCCCCACCACAGAGGGTCTTAATAGTCCTTCCCCTCCACCCAGCTGGGGAGATGAGGTGACCAGAGGCAGCTCTTGCTCCTTGCAGGGGTCTCCCCACTCCTATTTTCCACCTGGCCCCCATCCAGTGGGAGGGCTGCAGCCCTACAGGAGGGTGGGGGCTGTGATCATGGTGCGGAGCGAGGCTGCAGCCTTTCATTACAGAAATCACTCTACGTCCTTCATCTCCTGTGGGATCTCTCCGGGATAATTGCAGTGGGAACGTTGGGGCCTTTAGAACGGCTTATCTTTCCCCTTCAGAGCCCACAAAGGTGCTGGAAAAATGAGACCAAATTGTCATGAGAAATGAATTGGACAGACATGAGTTGCTTAACGCATTCATTCAGTCCCTAGAGAACAGGCTGCTCCAAAACAAGCCCCTGTAAGCACTGCAGAGACCCCCGCCCCAGAGAGCCCTCACCACATGGAACTCTGCGCCTGGGAGCTGCCAGCTCCAACCCAGCATTCTGCCTGCTTCTTTCATGCTACCGCCCTTTGCTCCCCACCCTCTGGGCCATTCTGGGGAGAAGGGGGAAAAAGAGCTCTGTGCCATGGGGAGAGGGGGGCTGGGAAGGACAGGGGTGCTGATCTGCTTCCTAGGGCACCCACTGGGGGGTGCCTAGTTGAGGTGCTCCCCAGTGGCTAAACGCCCTCAAACCTCTGATCTGTGCAGCATGCGGCCGCCCCTGCTGCCGTCACCTCCTGCAGACAGCCCTGTGGTCTCTGTATGTGACTTTCTCTGACCTCACGGGGAGTTACCTCCTCCCCTCACTTCTCTGAAGCTACCTGCTCCCACCCTGCCAGCTTCTAACACTGAATCTGGCAGTCAGCAGGCGCTCCGTTGGTTGGGAGCATTTTGTAGAGCGAGTATTTCAAAGCCTCAAAGCTCCTTTGAAATAACAGAGACACCATGGAATAGATTGTTGAGAGCTGCAGGTTATGACTCACTAGTGAATTGTGCTGTCAGATTAGTGTGTTGAGACCAGCAATTTTTAAATGGATAGAATAGAATAGGAAATGTCAGAGCACATCACACGTAGCATGTTAATTACTGTTTTGTGTCTTTTAATTTCAATTTCACTATGTGTGTGCACAGGTGTACCCATGGGGTCATGATGAAAACAGATGGCAAGCCCCACCCATGAAGAGGTTCAGGGGTCTGTCCCAGCCAGCGTGGCCACCTGTCCTCTGCAGCTCAGGCCCCGGCCACCCTGTAGCCTTCCCTGCTGTCAGCCCTACTCCACTCCACTCCTCCTGGCCTGCGTGGCCTGTGCTCTCTGTCTGCGAGTCTTTCCTTGTGTTTTATTTTCTGCCTGTGGCCAAATACCCTGAGTCGGAAGGTCTGAGCCCGGTTCGGATGAATGAGAAACGGAGCAAGTCAAACGGTGTCTTCTGTGCCTGTGGCAGACACAGAGAGCATAGATGCCCCACCGACGGCAGGCTTCCTGGGTCCTTGGGGACACTGCTGCCTGCTCTGGTCACATTTGGAGCTTAGAGGATTTGTTCAGACAGTAGCCATTTACAGCTTTCCAGCATACAGGGTGATGCCCTTATTTTCCACACCGGGAAATGGTACAAGCCATCCTTGCTCTCCATGGGGGATTGTTCCCAGGATCCCACTCCCAAAATACCAAACTGCTCAAGGCTGCAGTCCTGTGCAGAACGGCTTCATGTTTGCTTATGATCCACACACCTCACCTCTTAGTTTCAAGCCAGCTCTGGATTGCTTACAGTAACTACTACAAGGTAAAGTTGTGCGAACAGTTGTTACACCGTACTGTTTAGGGACTAAGGGTCAGAGAATGAAGTCTGTGTAGTTACTTAAAAAAAATTTTTTTTAAAGATTATTTATTTGAAAGACAGAGGCAGAGAGAGAGAGGGAGGTTTTCTATCCACTGGTTCACTCTCCAGATGACCTCAATGGCCGGAGCTGCGCCAATCTGAAGCCAGGAGCCAGGAGCTTCTTCCGGGTCTCCCATGTGGGTGCAGGGACCCACGGACTTGGGCCATCCTCTACTGCATTCCCAGGCCATAGCAGAGAGCTGTATTGGAAGCATAGCAGCCGGACTCTAACCAGTGCCCATATGGGATGCCGGTGCTTCAGGCCAAGGCATTAACCCACTACATCACACTATTGGCCCCCAGATACTTTTTTAAAGAGTATTTTTAAAAAAGAGTTATTTATTTAAAGGTAGAGTGGCAGATAGAAAGAGAGAGAGATGAGAGAGGGAGAAGCTGGGGTCGGGGGGAGAAATATCTTCCATCCACTGGTTTACTTCCTAAATGCCCGAAACAGCCAGGGCTGGGCCAGCCAGAAACTTCATCCAGGTTTCCTAGTAGGTAGCAGGGCCTCAAGTGCTTGGGCCGTCTTCTGCAGCTTTCCCAGGCATGTTTGCAGAGTCGGATCACAAGTGGAACAGCTGGGACTTAAACAGGCATTCATATGGGATGCTGGCTGGAAGGCAAGACACTGTGGCAAAAAAATGACTTAAATGAAAGATCTCTGTGAGATCCCAGCGGAAAGAAGGGGCCATCAAAGAAGGAGGTACCTTTCTCTGCAGGGAGGAGAGAACTTCCACTTTGATTATGACTTTGGCTAAATAAGGTCGGAGTTTGTGGACTCAAGAGGCTTCCAAAGCCTTGGCAGCTCATGACAAGAACCTCGGGCGATCACTGACATCATAAATAAGAGTGTCAATTGTTAAATCAAGAACAGGAGTCACTGTGCACTTACTCCCCAAGTAAGATCTCTGTCCTTAATGTGTTGTACTATGAGAATTAACGGTAAAACTAGTCTTCAAACAATACTTTATACTTTGTGTCTGTGTGGATGCAAACTTTTGAAATCTTTACTTAGTATAGAGTTGATCTTCTGTATACAAAGATAATTAAAAATGAATCTTAATGAAGAATGGGATGGGGGAGGGAGTAGGAGGTGGGACGGTTTACAGGTAGGAGGGTGGTTATGGGGGAAAGAACCGCTATAATCCAAAAGTTGTACTTTTGAAATTTATTTTTATTAAATAAAAGTTTTCTAAAAAAAAAAAAAAAATGGGATGCTGTCGTCACAGGCAGTGGCTTAACCTGCTGCACCACGGTGCTGACTTGGACCATC